AACCAGAAGGTAATCTCTTCCCTGATGGTGGGACTGGCCTTGCCACTTTCACATTTGTTTTGATTTATTCATTATATTCTCATATGATCAGCCTCTTATGGTGTATCTTTCATTATTAATAATATAACATACTAAATAATACAATTTGTAATTTGACTAAGATAATGAAGACAGATGGACAACATCAGATATAGGTAGGTGTGTGTGTGTGTGTGTGTGTGTGTGTGTGTGTGTGTGTGTGTGTGTGTACGAGAGTATGTGTATGTGTGTGTGCATGTGTGTGTGTACGTGTGTGTGTACGTGTGTGTGTGTGTCATATAATACACGCTTGTCTTTCGCTCTCTTCCTAGGAGGACTATCATTACCATTGTTTGATATATTTTACCTAAAATCTTCCCATTTTTCTGTGGCTGAATGTGTGTTGAATGTAAAGCTAACCAATCACAGTGCAGCATTATGGACGAGTCCATTGTAAGAGTGGGGAATAAACTACTCACTCAAGGGTCCAAGAAAAGGGAAGAGGACAAGGGATTGCTGGCTGGCGGCAATTTCAGATGACCGCGTGTGGCAGGAATTTCAAAAGTCAAATATTGAAGGGTTTGGACAAATGTTTCTCAATCAGAAAGGGTCCGGACTATCCGAAATATGGATTTAAGGGGTCCGGGCTTTCGAGGGATTACCGTAGATACTTTGGTCATATAATTGGGGATGAGGGAATAATAACAGAAATATTATTGGGCAAAGTTGAGGGTGGGAGGGCCAGGAGAAGGCAGAGTCTGGGATAAATTAAACACTGGGTTCACAGAAAGATACAAAATCTTAGAGGATTGGTAAGAACAGCCCGAGAGTGTTTATAGTGTAGCAATGTGGTCATCAATCCCCAGATATGGGGACGGTACTCTGATTGATAGAATATAGTGTACTACTGTGGTAATACAAACTTTATAAGGATTGTAATTTAGTTTATTGGGTAATGGTCATTTATAAGAGTTTACCATTACTGTATGCCTGCACTGTCTTGACACATAAGAAACTGTATACAGTGATCCCTGGGTTAATGAGCGCCTCGGTTCACGAGATTTCGGTTAACGAGTTACCTCCCATAAGATTCTTAACTTCGGTTAACGAGCAATCCCTCGGTTAACGAGTTTCTTACGAGCCGACCTCAACAAGTTTTGGCTTGCACTTAGCGGTCCACCAGCTTTAGTATCAGTCCGCCAATACATTAATCAGTTCTAGGGCTTAAATTCCTTACTACTTTAGTAAATATCAAGAAGTTTATACTATTCAATAATTTTAAACATTTAATATTAAATTTTTTAGTCATTTTAACAATTATTGAACATAATTGAAGGTAAAGTGACTAGTTTTATGCGCGCCATCCAGCCTCTTAACACAGCAAACAAGCGTTAGTCTCTCTCTGTTTTCAGTGAAGGTAACATCTTGCTTGAGACTCTCTTCAGCTAAATGCTTTTTTTCTGTGTTTCCAAGCAAATTATTGGTCATTTTGAAATTTATTTTACATGTTGACAATATATAGCGCAGTGCAGTGTTATTTTAAAGAAAATATTCTTTACTTACAGCAAGTTTATACCTAAAAGATCACGTGGTGACATTGTTTGAATCCAGCATGGGGCCTAAGAGATCAAGAAAAGCGATTTCAATCCAAACCAAGCAGGAAATTATAAAAAAAACATGAACAAGGCATTAGAACAAATGCGCTATGCAAAAATATGGCATGTCGACATCAACTGTGTCGACAATTCTTGCAGAGAAAGACAAATTTAAAGAAGTGAAAGTGAGAGACAAATCTACCAGTGTTTAAAAGTAGATCACTAATTGCAGAAACTGAGAGGTTACTTCTCATCTGGATTAAGGAAAAACAGATGAAAGGTGATTCAGTTTCTACTGAATTCATTTGTGAAAGAGCCAGGGAGATTTATGAACTTTTAAAGACAGATCAACCTGGTTCTTCAGGCACAGAATTTGAAGATTTTCGGGCCAGCAAAGGCTGGTTCGAAAAATTTAAGAAAAGAAGTGACATTTTCAGTGTTGTTAGGCATGGTGAGGCTGCTGGTGCTGATAAGGAAGGGACAGCAAAGTTTTTAGTGGAATTTAAAGAACTGATGGAAGAAGAAAATTATCTTCCACAGCAAGTGTTCAATGTGGACGAAACTGGGCTGTTCTGGAAAAAGATGCCCAAAAGAACATTCATCACCAGAGATGAAGCCTCTTTACCTGGGCATAAACCCATGAAAGACCGTCTCACTCTATTGCTTGGTGCCAATGCTTCAGGGGATTTCCGACTGAAGCCTATGCTTGTCTACCACTCTGAAAACCCCAGGGTGTTCAAGCAACAGAAAGTGGTAAGAACAAAGCTTGGAGTTTATTGGAAGTCCAACCGTAAGGCATGGGTGACAAGACAACTCTTTAATGAATGGGCTGTTGATGTGTTTTGCCCTTTGGTCAAGAGCTACCTAACCACCAATAAACTCCCTTTAAAGGTTCTTCTCCTCATGGATAATGCTCCTGGTCATGACCCTGACCTTGCCAGCAATTTGGAGTATCAATTTGACTTTGTGAAAGTGTTGTTTTTGCCTCCAAACACTACATCAATCATACAGCCAATGGACCAGAATGTGATCAGCAACTTCAAGAAGATGTACATGAAGAAAATGTTTAGGAGGTGTCATCAGGCAACTTCCACTGATCCTGAACTAACACTGAAACAGTTCTGGAAGACACAATTCAACATCCTGGAGGCTGTAAAATTGATTGTGTCATCATGGCAAGAAGTCTCCACTAGATCCCTCAATTCTTCATGGAAAGCCATCAGTAGTCCATGATTTTGAGGGATTTGAGGAAGAAACAGAGTTGGACCAGGAGATTGTGTCCATTGGTCAGTCATTGGGCCTTGAAGTGGAAGAGGATGATGTCGAAGAGCTTGTGATGTCTCATGAGGAGGAACTTACTCCTGATAACTTGAAGCAACTGGATGAGATGTTAGAGGCTGACAATGGTGAGGAGGAAATTGAAAGTGATGACCATATGTCAACTAAAGAGTTGAAAGATGTGATTTACCACTGGGAGAAGTTCAGGGAGCTGGCTTCAAAGCAACCAGATGTGGAAAAAAATGAAATAACTTTGTGCCATGTTGAGGACTCAGTGGTCTCCTTCTTTAAACATAAGTTAATGGTGAGGAGGAGAGATGCCCCACAGACCACAATTGACACTTTCTTCAGTAAAAGGCAGAGGGAACAAGATGCTATCCCTCTGCCTTCCACTTCAAGAAGGAGAGTGGATGATGCTAGCCCTCAGCCTTCCACTTCAAGAAGGAGAGAGGATGTTCATGGTGGAGAATCTGTCAGTCCAGAGGTTCCTGACATTTTCATGGAAGGTGACTCACCTTCCAAGAAGCAGTAAAATGCTTCTCCTCCACCTCCACCTCCACTTCCTTCTCTTCTCCCTTCTCCTCCTCCACCTCCCACTTCAAATTCACATCATCATCATCATCCAGGAGCCTTCTACATACACACCTCAAAGTAAGTGAACTATTCTACCTTTTTTGTTGAATTTAGGCAATTTTCGGTGAGCTGGAACCAATTATCCAAAAACCCATTGAAACAATGGTTTCGGTTAACGAGCAACCTGCTAGAACGGATTGTGCTCGTTAACCGAGGGACCACTGTACTGTATTCCCTAGTCTACAGTATGTACACCATATAAGTGCACTGTCTATACACACGCTTAAAGCATTCCTGTATAGTCTATATGCATGATAAACCATCTGAAAACATGTATGATGATTTCAATGAATAATAGCATTATTATTATTATTATTACAGTCTGTCCTCGACTTACGACGGGGTTCCGGACCGACGACCAGGTCGTAAGTCGAAAATGCGAAAATAATGCATAGAAATTCTAAAATGAAACATGGTACAGTAAAAGTAATCGACAATGAAAAATGAATAAAGTGTTACTGTGCACTTACTTTAATGTAATCAGCTGAATGCACACGGGGCCTCAATAATTTTTTAATTGTTGATATCATCGAGTGAGAGAAGCCTAGGTCGCGTGAAATTTTTTCAGTGCACAGCGCGATCACTAACACTAATGACGGCCAAACACCAACTGAGCGGGCTACGGCGTGGACGCTGTACACCACGAGGCGGCCCAGCCCACACTGTCGTACGGGACGAAAACGTTTCGGTACTAGAAAATACGTAATTTGAAAAATATTTTATACGACTGAGGTGGTCGTATGTCCGGGTGGTCGTAAGTCGAGGAGTACCTGTATTAATAATAATAATATTATTATTATTATTACTAGAATGTCTGAAAAATAATCAAGATATTAAGTATTATACAGCATGCCCTGACAATTCACTGATTTTTAATTCGCAGTCCTCGATTATTCGTGGATGACACCCTGGATGTACCCAAGAATGTCTGTAAGTAGTTTTAAAGTTGCCGGCATTTTCATGGCTGAGACAGGGAGACATTCATTCTAGAGACAGTAATTTTTACATGGAAAAAATTGCCATATGGCAACCCAACTAACTCAACTTTAGTAAAAAAGCATGGAGTTCACTTGAGGGTAGACTCTCACATTTTTCTACATTTCGATACATTTTGTTGCCTTGTTTCTGATTATTTGCGAGAGGATTTTCAAATTATTATTTATTCATTTGTTTGTGTGTGTGTGTGTGTGTGTGTGTGTGTGTGTGTGTGTGTGTGTGTGTGTCTGTGTGTGTACACACACACATATACAGTATACAATACAGGTAAAAGAAATAATTGTCCTAAAGGCAAACACATAAAGGGAATACAGGGTATACATTTCTTTGCACACGATTAAAAATGTAACCCCCCCCCCGGTCAGCAAATGATATTTGAGGATTAGGCTATTTGCAGCCATTTTGAGAACCATACCGCCGGGAATTTTAATGGTATGCCGTATATGACTACATTTTAATAAACACCAAATTCAAGCTTACCTTTATCTGGCTGTTCATGCTGTAGTAAAGATGTCACAAGATGGCGGTAAATGATGTGAACAGTGGTGGCTATCTGTTGCTGTGTGGGCCGGCTGGCTGCCCGGATACCGTCCAGGTAGTGTGTGGCTTCCAGTGATCGCACCAGAGAGTAGCTACTGCTGTTCCACAGACTCTCCAGGCCAAAGCATCCAGTCATAACCTCGTGATACACCTGAGAACATTTTGAAATACAGTTCAGGTATCTCTAGCTATGTGAATGGGTTAGGTGCCTGAAAACATTCGTTTATTTAATTTTTGTATCTTCATTAACAGAACATCTGGGAAAAAGAAGGTTCAGTTCCCCCAAAGACAAGAAAACCCCAATTTCATACTCTAAAAACATGACAACAGTTAAAAAAAACTACTTAGCTAATGATGAATAGTATAAGTGATATCCCCGTTAGCCGGAACAATGGAGGAGTTGTCGGTCGGAATTTTTTGGTAAGATGACGGTCAATGGGTAAAGAAAACGCTTCAATTCACTATGGTAATGATATTTTAAAATAGATTGAGCCAAAAAGTGTAAAAAATGAGGGTTAAAGTTGCTAGAAAGTCACGTGACTGTGTAAAGCTCTGTGATTGGTTGTGACGTCACAGACTAGCGCGAGCAGCCGAGGGGGAGCCCGGAGGCAGCCAGCTGTAGCTGTCCAACCTTCTCAACTGATCGGCTCTGTAAATATATATTATTAGATAATTAATTGTGCTTTACTGTACAAAGTACAACCCTTAGGCCCCGGGTGACGTTCCAGAACATCCGCCTATTTTCCTGCCATTTTTTTTTTAAAGTTTATTTTTTTTCTTGATTTAATCCCGCGGGTGAAGGGGGGGGAGGGGGTACTGCCAGCAGCACCCTAACTCGGGGCTTAAGGTTTAAACAATAAGACACATTATCTCTACAGGATTTCTGTTGCAAAACATTTTTCGATTGCATAATAAATACAGCCCAGGTCAAGAGGCTTACAACCACAAAATCATTGCCATATGACAAAACTTTTATTTATTTTATTACGGAGTTGTGGTCACGGCTGTGATAAAGGCCAACCAGGGAGTGTAGTACTGTTGTGCCTTTAGTTAAATAAGTTCATAGTGTCATCAGTGACTGTGGAAGAGGTTGTAAATAACTTAAAGTGAAGAACAAACTGGCGAGCAAGCTGTTAAGGACCACTGCCAGCAGAGACCAAGTCGTGTTATAGGTGCCACAGACTTTAAATTTTATTTTGTTTGTGTGTTTTCTCAAGGACTGAAACTGTGACTACAATACACCACTCACAGGGAGATACAGTGTACACAGTGATATAGCACAAAGAGATATAGTCATTAATGAAAACTGGAAAAGTATAAGGAAATAATAGTTAAAATAAAATCAAAATAAAATCATCAAGCTTGACTATCCTTTAAGGCATTCTATTACCGCCCCAAAGAAAGTTGTATTTTATTTTTCTGTGTTTCTAAAGGACTGAGTGGGCATATAAAATCCGTTATTCATAGCAAAAGGAAGTGTACATGGAGATAGCACATAGATACTCACAAATCACTGAAGTGAACAGAAAAAATAAGAGAAGAAAAACAGAAGACAACTCTAAAGGCAACAGGGGAGGTTAAGACCAGTAGAGGGCAGCTATAGGTACTGTTTGTTGTTGTTGTTGTTTTTTTAAATAGGTGTAAATCTATACACAGTCTGCACACCCCTGCCCACAACAGCAACAACAACAACCATGAAGAGTATGATATGTGATTACTGCGGAGTGATGACGGATATGGAGGATACAGGCCTGACCAATGCAACGTTTAGGACGACGATGCAAGCTGCCGTAAAGCATGAAGGCTGTTGCTGGTATTGCCCTGACTGCATGGTAAAGGTGAATGAGGCGATTGCAAGCCATAAGGGAACGAGTTCCCTAGGGACGAAAATAGATGAAGCTGGAGCCTTGCTGGTTGCCAAACTAGAACAAGTTGGGAAAGACATCCTTGCTAAGACTGAGGAAGTAGCCGATATAATGGAGGTGGTTGCTAAGAGGAGTTATGCTGAGGCATTAGCAGGGCCACGGGAGGTGGCGGAGAGTAATGCAGGATCAGAACAGGTTCAACAGCAACTAGGGACTCTGAAGAAGTGTGTCGAAGAAAGGACAATTAACGGACCTACTGCTAGGGGAGAGGAGGAACAATGAGAACGTCTCCACCGCAGGAACAATGTAATAGTTTTTGGAGTCCCTGAGAGCCAGGCGGAGGGAACTGAGAGTAAGGTAACACATAAGATGCGGTTCAAGAATATTTGTACAGAGGTTCTGAAGATGCCATCAACCCCTCAGGATGTGAGGAGGCTGGGACAAAAGCAGGGGGATAAGCCTCACCCTCTCAGGATCACACTAGTGAGTGAGGAGGAGAAATGAGAGGTAATTCGGCAGGCAAAAAACTTAGCAAGGAGCGAGGCATTTCGGAGTGTATTCATTCACCCAGATCGCACGGTAATGCAGAGGGAACAGCACAAGAAGCTCCTGCAGGACTTGAAGCAGAAGAGGGTGGAGTCAAGGAGGAACAGAGATGGGTGTACATGGGTTATATTCAGGGAGAGGGTGGTGGAAGCAAGTGTGCCGACACAGGGCCGGGGGACAGCAGCGCACCCTCCACCCACTCTACCCGGGAGGTGGCTCCAGTTCTGCCTACCAGCCGGGAGGAGGCGAGCGCCATGCAAACAATGACATTTCTAACCACACCCTGCAAAACACAGTGCACTTAGCAAATGCTGCAGCTTCTAAAAATGGGGGGGGTGTTACTAATAAGAGCAGAGACATTACCAAAAACAAATTCTGGCTTGAACGTCATGTACTGTACACTAATACTGACATGTTTCTTCATAAGAGAGAGGAGTTTGAAACGCTACTAAGAGTACACCAACCAGATATTGTAGGATTTGTAGAACCGTTGTACAAGAACAGGAGAATCGACCCGAGGAATGTGAGTTCAGTATTGCTGGATATGACTCATTTACAAACCTTTCTCAAGAAACTTGCAATAGGGGTGTGGTTATCTATGCTAAGCAAGACCCTAGAGCCAGCCAGGTGAGGGTACAGGGAGAGGATGTTTTTGAAGAGTCCAAGTGCTGTAAAATCAAATTAAAGGGAAGGGGCTTACTTGTTGTCGGGTGTATCTACAGATCCCCAAACTGTGGCCCACTAAATCATAGGAACTTAAGAGCCTTAATAGACAATGCAGTGATGCTCAACCCTAGCCACCTCCTTATCATGGGGGACTTTAACTATGGAGACATCGACTGGAGAAACGACTTCATCCCAAATGACTTGAATAACCCTGCTACTCTTTTTGTAGAAACTCCGAGAGATAATTTTCTGTCCCAACATGCTAGAGACCCGACACATTACAGAGGGGAACAAACACCCAAGCCACCAGACCTCATCATAACAAACGAGGAGGGTATGGTGTCCAAACTGGAACATCTACAATCAGTTGGCACCACTCACCATGTAGTGTTGTCATTCAGATTTAACTGTTACCTAGTTCAAGATAAAGCCAGGTCAAGGTGCAAATATTACAAGGGAAATTGCAACAGGATGAGGGAAGAGATGAGGGGTATCCACTGGCATGACTCACAAAGGCACCAGAATGCAGACACTATGCTGAATATCATAACTAGTAAAGTGACCCATTTGAGCGATAAATATATACCCAAGATCAAACCCAGTGCCTCTAGGAATACGAGGGGACCCCTACACATGAACCATGCGGCGGTCGACAAAGTTAAGAAGAAAACCCAGAAATTCAAGACGTGGGTTGGGTCAAACGATGCGCAGGAAAGGAGGATGTATGCAAGAGCCAGAAACCAAGCAAAGATAGAATGTAGAAAAGGAGTTCCAGAGGCTGGGTTGCAAGCGAGGTCAAGTCAAGCCCAAAGGAATTTTAACGCTATGCAAAGTAGAAATTAAAAATGCGAGTAGCAGTATCAGACCTGAGGCTTGAAGATGGTAATTATACAGATTCTGACCAGGACAAGGCTGAGGCATTGAACAGCTTCAATTCCTCAGTGTTTACAAGAGAGGATGCGACTAACCTTCCTGCGTTTGAGGACAGACGGTTCGACACAGCACTGACCCACATTGTGTTCACAGAAGAGGGTATTAGAAATAAACTGTCCAGGCCAAAGGTCCGTAAGAGTCCCGGCCCTGACTCGGTGCATCCTAGAGTGCTAAGAGAGTTGTGCAATGAGCTTGCTGAGCCCCTGAAGATCATGTTCTGTAAATGCCACAATGAACAAAAGGTCTCCAGTGATTGGAAAATGGCTTATGTGAGTCCTGTCTTCAAGAAGGGCGATCGTCACTCCACGAATAACTATAGACCAGTTAGCCTGACCAGTATAATATGTAAAGTACTTGAGAGTATAATCAGATATGCCACGATGGATCATCTACTAAGAAACAACCTTGAAAAGGATTGCCAACACGGTTTTATGCCGGGGCACTCCTGCTTAACACAATTACTCAAGATATTGGATATTTGGACCCATATTCTAGAACGGGGTGGTAATATCGAAAATATATACTTAGATTTGCCAAGGCTTTCGACAGTGTACCCCATGAAAGACTGAAAATCAAACTGGAAGGGTACGGAATTTGGGGAAATGTCCTAGCGTGGATAGAAGACTTTCTACATGACCGCAAGCAGTGTGTGGTGATTAATGGCATGAAATCGTCATCTGTGCCTGTCACAAGCGGGGTACCACAGGGCAGTGTATTGGGCCCGCTGTTGTTTGTTTGCTTCATAAATGACATGCCTGACGTTGTACACTCCTCCATACAAATGTTTGCCAATGGCGCCAAGTTATTTATGGAAATCAAGAACCAAGTGGACTGTGAAGAGCTGCAGAAGGATCTCTGTGGGCTCCAAGAATGGTCGAAGAAATGGCTGCTGAGATTCAATGTCACGAAGTGCAAGAGGATGCACCTGGGGCGTACCAACGGTAAGGAGGCGTATCATATGTCCCAACGGGATGAAGAAACTGCACTATTTGAGACTGATTGTGAGAAGGACCTATGTGTGTATGTTGACAATGAGCTGAAGTTGTCAGGCCACTGTGAGAAGAAGGTAAATGAGGCAAAGAAATTATTAGGTCTCATAAGAAGGTCGTTCAGATATCTAGACGGTACGTCCCTCGTAACGACCTTCAAGAGTAAAGTGCTTCCCCATCTGGAGTACTGTCACCCCGTGTGGTCCCCGAGATATGCTAGGGACTGTCAGGTGGTTGAAAATGTTCAAAGGATGGCCACCAGACTGGTGCCTGCACTTTGGCTCCTCAGCTACCCTGAGAGATTGGAGCGCCTGAACTTGCCTAGCTTATACTACAGACGGGCAAGGGGTGACCTAATTGAGGTGTATAAGCATCTCAAGGGGCAATACTCAGTCAAGTGTCCTTACTTGGAGCTGGCAGACGCTAGTCCCACAAGGGGTCACAGCTCAAGGTTAAAGAAGTCGCAGGTTTAGAAAACTTTCAGGGCAAAATTTTTTGGAGTGAGAGTTGTGAACTCTTGGAACAATCTGCCAGAGTGTTGTGACGGCACCAAGTGTTAACTCTTTGAAGACCAGACTTGATCAACACTGGAGCAGGTTTAGATAGATTCAGGAGCCGGTGCATGCCCAATAGTTGCCAACAGTGTGTAACAGAGACGTGACCGATCGCCCAAGCAGCTAACGAGCCAATCAGTGGTGAAAAGGATAAATGTAAAAAGTAAAAAGTCACAATTTTTGTGATGCCATATAGCAGCAGGGTCTACCATTAGACAATACATTACGCTTCCAATATCTTCCTAGGCGGTACCTTCCTGTTTTGTAGCTGCCTACTACCAACAAATGAGACGACTCTCTCAAACCTGGAAAAATCACTTATCCATGGAATTTTTTCTGGTTACTGGGAAAAGTTGCCAAGGGTCTAAACTATGTATCAACTTGATTCAAAACTATGCATCTCATTTAGCACGGACACTCTCCCATTACATCTAGACTACAGTCACGAGCGAAAATATTTATGGCTAATGAAAAACGGCATAAACTTTTATTTACATGGAGACATGTTCCTGATGACGTTATTTTTTACCTAAGAAATATACGAGTATACAGTACTGAATATGAAGGGTAGAGGAATTTATAAACATAGATTATTACAGTAACGTATCTTTACTAATTAAAGAATAACAAACAAATAATGTTCTGTACTGTATCATGAATGACAGTCACAGTACAGTAGACTGAGCGAGATGCAGTGGGTGGGAGTCGACCTATTTAGGGGGTAAACTGACCGCAGTGTACCAAAGTTCAAGCAAACCCACACCTGTAAGCTGAAACATACAGGTTAGGTATCCCTTATCTGAAATGTTTGGGGCCTTAAGGATCTCGGATTTGGGATATTTTTGGGTTTGGGAATACAGGTATGCCACCGATTTTCCAGGAACTGATGGTCCAGTACCTCCTTTAGTCCAGACAAAATTACGAGAGGGCAGTTGACTTACCTCCCTCCCTCCCTCCCAGACTGGGTAAAGGTAGTTTAGGCTTAAAGTTTTTATCGTATGAAATGTCACAGACAAAACTTTGCAGAATATAACTTACATTGTTGGAATCCTTGTAAGATAGTGATTAATTTGAGTACAGTATAGTCTGGATTTACGCGGCTTTTGTTTACGTGTTTGGTCATTTACGCGGTGCCTTGCCAGAATGAAATGCTTTAATTACGCGGTAAATTTGGTCATCAACCTGGGAAGCGGCGCGGGCAGGGTGCGCACAAGGTCGCCCAGTCATCAAAACATTACCGAATTCTTCACCCGCCACCCACCACAGCCGGCCCAAGTCAGTGATATTGATAGTGATAGTGAGGATATGGACTTTGAGGGGTTTGACAAAGAGGCCCTGCAAGCCTCTGTGGTGGATAGTGATACAATTGATACAAGTGATAAAGGTGAGGGCCAATAATCTGCCCTCTGCCTCGGAACCAGACCCCCATCCCCGTGTGCCCAGCCATCTTTTCTACTAACTAAGTGTTAAAAAACCTAATATTATTGATATTTCTCTTAATTATTAATTGTGTGTGCATACCATCATAAAATTAAGATGATATTTTGACTACAAGGTATGTATTGTGTCGGAAAAAGTGGAGTCGGCCCAGTCTCTATTTCAATTAATCTCATATGTTCTGTTATTTCTTTTACGTGTTTCTCGTTTTACGCGGGCCTCCACGGGTTCAATTGACCGCGTAAATGCAGACTATACTGTATAAACATCGCATAGTTTGGACAAGAGATAAAAAATTTAGTCCTTTAGTGTAGTACATTTGAGTATAAAGTGTGTACAGTAATATGTTACTAAAAATTATGGTTTTTCACATTTAATTTACATTTAACATTTGTTTAATTTAAGTTTCTAGCAGTCCATGGTGTATAATCAGTGGGTCAGAGGAGTATTGTTGAATTATTATTACCTGACCTCGGTTGGTCCGGGAAAGCTTTGGAACCAAGGGTGCCGGAAAATTGGTGATGTAGCTGTACCTATATCCTGTATACAGAACCTGTAGCTCACCCAGCAGGGACGGGGCCTTAGTCTATGCACAAAATTAATTTATATTTCATTTAAAGTACATGGATACATATAGTCTGCAGGTAGTTTTATGAAATATAATTGAATAATTTTGGGTATAAATTATATGATAAGATGTACTGTACACTAAAGACCCAGAAAGGTAAGCAATCACTACCGTCTGTTTGGCATAGCCATGACGCCTGACTCTGAGGCACTAAGTAGACGGAGTCTTACTCATACTTACCCCAGTAAACATTATGATATATGCCATATTCAGTGTATTATCTACCATAAATATAATGAAATACACTTTCATATTTCAGAGCATTTTGGACTTGAGAAATTCAGATAAGGGAAACCCAACCTGTAGAAGTACAACTTATGTCATTGTAGTCAAGCAAACCCACACCTGTAAGCTTAAACATATGTGTTAAACTTATGCTCATTGTACTCACTGAAGGTAAGAGAGATCCACAGGCTTTTTCCAGGGCAATATGTTGTTTAGTTTCCTCCTCGCTCTTCTCCCCATCTTGTGCGGGTGTCAGTAGAGTCAGCATCAGCTCCAATGCATCTAACCGTGACTGCCGGAAATAAATCATATAAATAATGAAGCCAAACCTCATAAAAATATACACTGGAAAAAACAACAAAAACTCTCTTAACTCGTTCCCTTGAAACAAAATCACTTAACTTAGGTATTAAAGGCCTATACAGGCTGATCCATAGAAATATACCGGACACCATTTTCAATTCTAATAATTTACAGATTCTCTTGAAAGATGTGTAAGCAAAATTCATTGATCATCCTGGGTCAGCAGACTTTGGAATGGCAGAGTAGTAGCCGAAATTCTTTATTCTCTGGAAGCAGCAAGACAACAGCTTGTGAGTAAACATGACACAAGTTATGTCCTGCTTGGTTACATCCACTTTTGGGGACAGGTATGGGAGCAAGTACTGTACTCCCATTATCCTCATTTAGTACAGTATAGTCATGCGCCGGTTAACGTCCGACCGAACAACGCCCCCCCCACCAAAAAAAAAAGTGACGCCTGCTGGACCACCACTCCACGACCCCCTGACGGAGACATGATGATCCTCCCCATACTGGTCAGATATTATGTGTTAAAGGAATATGCTTCCTTACTTAGGCTTTTTTTAAGCATTTACCTACAGGTGAAATGTTTAACCTACATCTATTGAGGATAAAATCTTTCACCTACAAATTGACAATAACAGATTTGCTGTAATCAGACATATCTAGTTGCCTCAACAATTGCAACCCCAGTTGCAATTGGGGTTGCAATTTCAAATTCTGTGGCATTACTAAAAATAGTAAAGTTTCTGGTGCACTCTAAGATTAAGAGAGAAAACAGAGGACTCAGGCGTCCTGATGTGAGAGAAAACGGACTCGTATGTCAAGGGACCAAATAAAAAAAGCATAGCTACATGTTTTGTGGACTACAGTATTAAGAGTACCCTTTTCATCACTTTGTAATAAACCTAGCCATTCCTATGTGTGTTTATGATATTTACCATAACATTATATATATATTTAGTTGGTCTAAATGGTCGTAAAATGGGAAACTTGGGGTTGGGTCTTGGGTGCCTGAACCAATTAGAATAAATCCCATAGGTTCTGTACTTTCGTTATCGGCGGGGTCCCAATTAGGCGCGATAACCAAGGGATGACTGTACTGTACTGTATATACTTGTGACACTGGCCAGTTGCTTCTGGTGTTATGGTACAGGGGTACCAAGTGACAGCACTAGGATCCTGCTTCCTCTATCAAGGAATAAACAATTAAAATTTAAATTGAAAAAAAAAAACATTCAAATAAATTACTATCCTACAAGAATTCCTCCAATGTAAGTTATATTCACCCAGGTCGTTTGGGTGGAAAATTATGAGAAGAGCTTAGTCACTCGTAAGTAATGATAAATAAACACGCAGGCAGGCCTTCAGGGCCAACTGTCAAATCTTATCTCAAATAAATAAACAAACAAATGCCAGACATTCTGTCACCTCACCTCACCTCCCCCCCCACTCCCCCTCATCCATTTACATGCACACACCATACTAAAAGAAACGTAAAATAAATAAATGACCTTAGTGCAAAGCTGGAGTTCACATGTACTAATTTGATTACGGTATTAAAATTGTTTTGTCTAGTGCAAATTATAGCATGTTTATATTCAAATTAATCAGTATGTTACAAGAATCCCAGCTATGTTAATTATATTCACCCAGGTCATTTCACTGGCTTTTTATAAGAGAGAAGCTTAGTCACCTAAGAATTGATAAATATACAGGCGTTAGACCTGGACCTGTGCCAACTGTCAAACGTACTACCTCCCCTCCCCCCACACCCCCTCGCTCGCTCCCACCATCTCTCTCCCTCATCTGCTGGCGTTGCTGGAATCCTTGTAAAACAGTGAAAAATTTTAATATAAACGTCATGTATTTTGCACAAGAGATAAAAATTAATCACCTGTATCACATTACAGTTGTGATTTAAGAGTAAAAGTGTATATGTACGTATATAGTATTCCACATACACGTAAGTATAAATTAAAAGTTTATGTGATGATCGGACAACGTCCATTTTGGTTAACATCACATTTTCAAGAACGTATATAGGACGTTAACCGGCGCATGACTGTATACATTTATTCTTTTTTCTATAAATAGTCTACTGTAATTAATTGATTAATTGTGGTAAACACATCCCTGGTGACATAACAACTTGTGTCATATGTCACTGAATTAAAATAAAAACTTTAAAGATTAAAATCAAATAATGCAAAATAAAAGACAGAGTAATAAATAACATAGAACTTTCATAAAGCCATTTAAACGTTAATAGATAAAACTCAAAGCTTGTGTAGAAGGTCGGCTTCCTCCACGGACGAGAGTACGTCCCCCCTAAGCCCCAGGAGGAAGACGAAGAAGACTCACAACCTCCCTTACCCTGAAGCTGAAAGGTCGTGAGAGGCTGAGTGTAGTGTGGGGACATAGTCTCGTCAACTATACAAGTGTTGGTTACAGATTGTGGAGGCAAAACCAACACTGGACCTGGAGATACTGACATCTAAGATCAAGGGCTTGGTCATCAGCATCAACTAGTAGACTTGGAATTGATAAAGACCTGAAGACCCTAAATGTGCGATGGATGGTAAATTTCCCTGCAATCCAAAATTGTGAAACTCCTTAAGGATGCTGAATCTGTAAGCTGTGTCGTATGCTTTCTCTGGGTCGAAAAAATGCAGATGAGATGCTGGCAACAAGTCAGATTGATATGGTCAAAGGGCATTCTTCACCAGGTAGTATACTAATCGTGACTTGACCAACCATCTTTTCAAACAGCTTGCAGATACAGGAGGTCAGAGCTATGGGGCGATAATCTAGCGGGTGAAGACCCTCTCTTCCAGTTTTCTTGAAAGGCACGACAGTAGCCTCCTGCCATGAGGACAGGAAGGACCAGTTCCTGTTATATAGCTCTAATAGAAAGGTCTGTACCTCAACCTAAAGTGATGAAGCATTGAAAATGGGATATCATCAGGCCTTGGTGATGTATCTCCAGTAAGTGAAAGGGCAGTTCACATTTCTTTCATTAAGAACATGATGTTGTGTGTCTGACCAAGTCCCACTCCATAATCCAGGGTCCATTACTCCTTTACTCTACACTCAGTGGCGTAGCTAGAGTGTGTGCCGCCCGAGGCGGCCCTTGAGTTTGCCCCCCCCCCCCCTTGTGCCCCCACAAAAAATACATATTGCAGTGACTCACTCTTATATATATATATATATATATATATATATATATATATATATATATATATATATATATATATATATATATATATATATATATATATATATATATATATATATATATATATATATATATATATATATATATATATATATATATATATATATATATATATATATATATATATATATATATATATATATATATATATATATATATATATATATATATATATATATATATATATATATATATATATATATATATATATATATATATATATATATATATATTAAATAGTTTGTGTACCATTATAATATTACTGTACTTTCACATACTCAAATATAGTATGCTTTAAATACACACCAAACATACTTAAACTTTATAAGTAACAGTTAAACAAAAAGCAAAAACGACATATAGGATAGGGAAAAAAGTAAAAAAGTGTAAAAAATTAGGACCATCTTTATTTCTGAAATGAAAACTACAACTTTCTACAAAGTAACTTTTCTTGTTTTTTTGTTGGCAAATTCTTCAATGACATTGTCAAAAACTATTTCATCTGTCAATTGTCGCTCTATAGACAGTATGGCAAGATTTCTCAACTGCAAGGTGCTCATAGTAGATCTTAAGTAATTCTTGATCAGTTTTAGTTTCGAAAAACTCCTCTCACAGGTAGCAACACTAACAGCAATTGTGAGGAAATCCTCAGCATTATTACTATATTTGGAACCGAGTTCCCAAGGTTATACTTTTGAATAAACTGCAAAAGTTCAAGGGGGCCTTCTTTCCACGTCTGTATTCTGTCTTTAATAGTTATAGCAGCAACAGCAACAAAATGCTGAAGTCTTTTTCTCTCAACGAGGAACTCCTCTTTATCAATGTCGTCGTGATCGTGATCTATTTGACACTCATATTTATCATCCAAAAGATTCAATGGGGTAAGGAAGGCATATTTCTCAGCAAGTTCATGAAGCTGTTGAAATCTCAAAGTTATTTCTTGGATCACTCTGTCCAGCGAAGAAAACATTTCTCTCCTCAATTCAATGTCGTATGGCAATTCAGCATCTCGTGATCCTTCACCAAACATTTGTTTCTTCTTTTTGGGTCGACGCTGACGCTCCATGACTATCCCCAGATCATTGCAAATTTCTTTGGCATAGTTAACTCCATTACTCACTAGCTTGTCCCTGTTTTCAACTAGAAATGTTTCTAATGCCCTGAGTTTTATATCACATTGTTGTATGTTCAAGCCCTTGGTTTGGAGGTAAGTCTGTGTGTCGTAAATTTCTAGAAGGACGGGTCCCCACAAGCCAAGAAAGCACAAAAAGGAAAGTGATTGCAACGCACCAAGTAGAACACCAGCATCTGCCCTGGTAGCTGTATTTTCTTCTTCACCAGTTAACTTTTCTAGGGCACTTAAGATTTTTGAGAAATGTTTCTTTACAACACTTACAGCTTCTCCCCTCGCACTCCACCGAGTTTCTACTATGCGCTTGACACTTTGACCAGTGACTGAAGTTAGAACATCCCAGCGATGGGTTGATGAAGAAAAAAATACAAACAAACGTTCCACACATCCAAAAAAGGTAACAGAATTCACAGCAACAGAAGCTGCATAGGGTACACCACACTTGTCCAAGACAAGGATGGCTGTGCCCCCCTGATGTGTCTGTTCTGGATTATGAAGACAGTAAAATGCTGAATAAACTCTGGGAGGGAGATGATCATAGGCACCTAACATTGTCTCCTGGAGACAAATACATATGGGGGAGACTTTGCTCAGGAGCAACTGGAGCTCCTCCCAGTGG